TTGGTGAATTTCTTCACACTCAAGACAGCTGATAAGCTTCCCTTCATTGGTGAAGTTTCTGGTGTCTAAGAAGGCTTGACCGCCTGCTGAAGTTTCTCCTGCATATGGTACATGTGTAAGGCTGCTCACCTGTGTGGGTTCTCCTGTGTTTAATTAGATGAGAGTTCTGACTGAATTTTTTTCCACATTCATGACATGTAAAGGGCTTCTCTCCAGTATGAGTTCTTTGGTGTGTGTGGAGATTTGTATTCTGACTGAAGCTTTTCCCACACCATGAGCACTTGTATGGTTTTATTCCTTGGTGTGTTGTTAAGTGCTTATTAAGATCTGAACTCCACCTAAACCTCTTACCACATTGTGGACATTTATATGGTTTCTCTTCAGTGTGAATTCTTTGGTGCTTAATAAGATCAGAGCTAACTCTGAAGCTTTTCCCACATTCCTGGCATTTAAAAGGCTTCTCTCCTGTACGAGCTTTCTTGTGAAGATCCATAAGTTTCAGCAGCTCTTGTTTCCAGGTTGAGAGTTTCTTTCTTTTCTTCCCTGGAAAATCTCGGTGCCATTTCCCCACCCTGTGCAGATCACCATGATTTTCTTTACCCATTGTTTTCTGGGGATATTTCACTCTGGTCTTTTTTGATACTATCTCTGCTTGTGCTTCTATTTCTAAGGAAGAAAGACACACAGACTGATGATTTCCAGTGTAATTTTTTAGCTTTAGACCTGTTGGAATAAACATAAGAATCAGCCAACTATATAGAAGAGCAAGAAAACTATAAGAATAGTGAAAAAATTCTACTGATCATGATTTTAAAAGAATAGCCAAGTAGAATCTGAAAATGTTAAGCTCCTGAAAATATTCCTATCAAATCACATTTCTCCTAATCCCATGGTGTATTTACCTACAGGCAGCTTTCTAGAGGTGTCCTTCAACTCCAGGGACCCTTGAACCCATGGTTCTTCCCCTTGCTCTAGACAGGAGATCACTTTAGGTTTTGGGAGCACAAACAATGCTGTGAACAGAAAAACTGAGGTCAGACACTGGCAATTTAGCAATGGTCCCCTATTTGAGACTATTTCAGTAGGAGCAAAGAACATTTTTACTGTTTGTTACCAGAAGTACTTAAAAGGACAGACTCGTGTATCTGGTAGTAGGTTTATACTATAGTACATCTGTGAGTAGGTATACAATGTGCAGACTGAGATAAATCTAAAGTGGATCTATGGGAAGGATGTATGGCATGGGGATCCAGTGCATGTCGCCTCTTTTCTGCCAACAAGAATTCCCCAAATTCCACTGAGGTGGAATCAAACTCCAGAGACTGCAGAGGATATAGGCTGTCCTGTCAATGCTTTAGGAGGACTCAACTGATCAGACCAGCTCTAGCAGAGCCAATGGGAAGGTCACTGCGTCAGAGATCACTGATTTATTAAGGTCTCAAGAACCAGACACAGGATTCAGAAAGATTTCTACCCCCGTTATGGCTGACTGGTTTACATATAGCTGGAGGAATCAGACCAGAATCACTGAACAGACTTTTTGAATACAGATTGCCAAGTAAGGTAAGTATTCATCACTCATTCAGTGTGTTTTGACTGGCTGTTGTATGCCCGGCACTCTCCTTTGGCCAGGGATGCAGAGTAAGACAAAGTCCCCTGATCTTATGGAGCTAATGTCCTAGTGGAGGAATGAGAGAAATAAACAACAATGAATAAAATGTCACAAAGTGATAAAAAAGCAGGGTGAGGGAGCATTTAAGATTCTGCTTCCGTGAAAGTACCCTACATGAGGTTATGTGGATGAAGGGCTCAGTGAGAGAGTGATATTTTAGCAGAAACCTAAAAGTAAGATTTTCACCATGTGGCAAAAAACTGCCAGGAGAAGGAAAGCAGAAATGAGGACGACACGTTCAAGAAACAGCCAGATGACCAGTGTGGCTACAGAGGCCTGAACAAGTTCACAAGTGGCAGGAGTTGCGGGCAAGCAGGAGAGTAGGAGCTAGATTTTGGGACTGTCCTGGGAACCTTGACAAGGAATGTGGATCGTATTCTGTAATGTGTGAGAAGTTCTCCTAAGTTTTGAAGCAGAGAACTATCTTCAGCTCCTTAAGTTTTTCAAAGACCACTGCTGTGTGGAAAGCATGGTGGAGACGTTCATGGCAAAGGACCATGGACACGGCTGGACTCAGGCTCTGCTGAGCGAGGAACCAGAACTGTGATGCATCAGCAGTGGGTACGATGCCAGATCACAGAAAAGGACGACTGTTTCTTGCTCTGAGCAACTGGGAGAAGGGGGTGCCCTTACCGACCCAGGACAGAAGAGCAGGCTTAGGAGAGGACAGAAAAGAGATAAAAAATTCTATGGAGCATACGGAATGTGGACTAGACAAAGCTGCCAAGTGGTTGGGCACCTGTCCCGTCCACACCATCTGGTTGAGAACCCACCAGCTACGTGGCACTAGGGTGCATTCCCAGCAAGCCGAGAACAAGACAGATACTCAACTCCATTGTAAACGGTGGCGAGAATCTTTACCTAGAGAGATGACAGTCTCATAGTTCTCCTGCATTACGTCATTGTAGAGGGCCTCCTGAGTGGGATCCAGCAGCTCCCACTCTTCCTGGGAAAAAGACATGGCCACTTCTTCAAATGTCAAGTTCTAAAGAAGAGAACGGGCTTCAGCTCAGTATTTGCCACTGCCCACCATCTTGCCCACGAGCTGCATGGTTGGCCAGGCACTGGAGGAATGAACAGCATGTGATTTATTAAAAAGCAAGATAAAAGGAAAGAGGCAAGGGATCAGCAGTCAGGGAGCTGCCCACTTCCCCAGGGAGACCACCTGGGCTACCACGCCTCTGAGCACCTGCTGGGCAGTGTGGGTCATGGGCAACAGAGAAGGGCAGCTCTAAACAGCTGGGAACCGCGGCTCACCTGGGACTCGGGCAAGACAAGCTCAGGAACCACTGTCCAGTCTTTGGTGTTTCTCAGCTCAGGAAAGGCCAGGATCTGGTGAGCAGGCACAGCTGTGGGTGGAAAAGAGCCAGAGGAAAGTTCTCTCGCCAATGACATCATTAAACTTATTTTTAAAAAACAGAAGAATCTTTTAATAGAGATGGGACACCCTCACAACTGTATATGGTACCTAGAGGTGGCTTTCCCATTGGAAACGAGAATCAAGCACCTACTGGCCCTTGCAACTGGTGCCCTCCTTGACTGTGTTAAGTGTTCATGAGTAAAGCCAATAAAAGGAATCTGGTTTATTTCCTCACACGAGAAAGTATTCTGAGTTGGGCAGAAAGTAAAGGTGTCTGAAAGTGCAGAACTCAGAGTCCACTGTGCCAGACAGAAGAAATGAGAAGACAGAAATGAGCTTGGTGAGCTCAAGAAACAGCAAAACCAGTGTGACTAGAGGACTGAGCAAGGGCACAGGTGGCAGGAGAGGAGGGAAGGGAGTTGAGTACTGGCCAGATTCCTTACCATGGTCCTGGGTACCTTGGTAAGGAGTTTGGATTTCATTCTCAAGTGTGAAGAGTCATCATATGGTTTTGCAGCAGGGATATGTTGTAGCTTGATCTGGTTTGGAAGCCTCTGGCTGCTGCATGGAAACAGACTGTGGGAAAGCAGGAGTGACAAAAGGGGCGGCCAGGCAGGGAGCTACCGCAGTGGGCCTGGTCGGAGATGCCGCTGACTTAGACCAGGAGGATGGACACAGCTGGACCCAGGCTATACTGTGTCCGGAGCCAAGAGGACAGTGATGCGTCACCAGAGGGCATGATGGCAGGATCAGAGTGAAGGATGGATGCGAGTTTTCAGATCTGAAATATCTGCTGAATTATGGTGCCCTTTATGCAGATGAGGAAGAAAAGAGGAGACTAGATCAGAAGGGACTGGGTGAAGGAAAAATCAAGAATTGTAGGATAAGAAATGAGCATGTCGACTTGGATAAAGCTTCCGTGTGACCGAATACACCTCTGCCCAGCCCACAACCAGCTACTTGCCAGAGGGGTGCTTTCCTAGTGCTGAGAAGACAGATACTCAACTCCATTGCAAACGGTGGCGGGAATCTTTACCTAGAGAGATGACAGTCTCATAGTTCTCTTGCATTACGTCATTGTAGAGGGCCTTCTGAGTGGGTTCCAGCAACTCCCATTCTTCCTGGGAAAAATACATGGCCACTTCTTCAAATGTCAACAAGCTCTAAGGAAGAGAATGGGCTTCAGCTCGGTATTTGCCACTGCCTACCATTGTGCCCATGAGCTGCATGGTTGGCCACGCACTGGAGGAATCAACAGCACACGGTGCATTCAGTGTGAGGGCAGAAAGAGGCAAGGGATCTGCTCAGAACTTAAGTGGTGCCCACTTCCCCAGGGAGACTATCTGGGCTACCATGCCTCTGTGCACATGTTGGGCAGTGTGGGTCAAGGGCACCAGGGTAGCACAGCTCTAAACAGCGAGAAATCACAGCTCACCTGGGACTTAGGCAAGACGAGCTCAGGTACCACTGTCCAGTCTTTGGTGTGTGTCTGCTCAGGAAAGGCTAGGATCTGGTGAGCAGGCACAGCTGTGGGTGTAAAAGAGCCAGAGGAAATTTCTGTCGCTTCTTAATGAACATTCTGAGCTCATTTGTAAGATACAGAAGGTCCTTATTCTGTTAGTAGAGATAGGACACCTTTACAAGTGTGTATGGTGCTTCACTGCAGATAAGAACCAATCATCTCCTAGCCTCTAGACAAGGTTCTTCAGGTTTCATGAGCAACTTAGTGAAGGAGTAAGCTAGTTTACTTTTTCTTCCTAATATTATTGTGATTTATGCAAAATGAAACTTATTTTAAAATGAAATACTCAGGGACTCCAGTATATAGTAAGAGATATAGCTTTTATCATTTATTAATTTTTTCCTGGTACAAAATTTTTTTCACATTCTGTCACTGACAGCCCATTTCTGACCCTAATTCCTTCAGCATTAATATGAGGCGGCCTTAACCCTCTCCACTTTTCTAACAAACCAATTTCATGGGGTTATTACCAGGATTCTGTGGTTTGGGTATTTGTGTACTTTAGGCCAGCCCCACCTTTATACAGTATGCGAATCTACAGCCACTTATGGAGCATTATAATTGGTAATATGGTTTGCAGATGCACAGAGCTGGGCACTCAGAAAGCACTCAAGAGTATTTTGTGTCTTATTGCAGCTACCAGAATCATCGCGATGTTCCTTACCCCTCTCCCATACAGGCTGACTCCCTGTATGAGTTCTCCTGCTCAGCTGTTCTCGCAGACCCTGGTATGTATTCCAGAGTTCTCCACGCTCACAGGACATGTCCACTGGCTCATATTCTGCTGGCTTCATCTTGAAACCTGAGGCCTCTGAGGTTTCTCCCAAGAGCACTGCCTCCTTTCCCAGCTCATGGACTGCAACCTAAAAATAATCCCCATCCTTGTTACTGCAGAACTTACTTTTCATTTGGGGCCTGGTGTCAGGATAGGAAAAGCAGAGTCTAGGTGGTAGTTAGGTAAGATACTCTAATGAAAATGAGAAAAATACTAAAGAGATATTGGGCCACTAAGTTCTACAAAGTATCCACAAAAATCTGTGTAAATGAGGGTTCAAAAAGGGTGTGGCTGTTGTCAGCCATCCAATGCAAGTGCCTCCACACTCTGCATACAGCCCAGCTCAAGACTATTACCTGTGCAGGCTACCTGTTTTCGTGCCATCTTCACAGGCTTTCTGCTTTGACTTACATCCCTGCCATGGAGGTTTCCTGTTTTTCAGTTGTCTCAAAAAAGAAGGAATTAAGTAACAGTGTTTCTGTAAACCAGACTTTCCCTATGGGCAGGGAAGGTATTCATACAGAATGGGAATAAAATGGAAAAGAAAGGGAAAGGAAAGAGTCTGGCTCCAGCCTTCTAACACCAAACAAATGCCCTACCCTGTACTCTTCCCAATAGATCTGAAGCCAGCTGGTAAGCAGCCACCTGCCCGAGGGCATAGCCTGGACCCCCACTCAGCAGCAGAACCGAGGACCAACAACTAAGGGAGAGTGTGGAGGCTCGTGTCTATGCTGTGGACGACACCATCCTTGTCTTTCTTCGCTCAGCTAGTATGTTTGGATTTTCAAATCTTAGTTTCCCACTTTTCTACTTTTTCTCTTCCTTTGCAATCTAACCTAGTTGTATTTCCTTCTCTACTATTTCTGCTTTCTTTTGGTCTCTCTGTGTTCTCCTCTTTTTACATTTGCTCCTTCCTCTCCAGCTTCTTCTTGCCTTTTATTTGTTTCTGAGAACTTAAGACCTGTCTCCTTGGCCAACCCAGACTGGGTTTATTACCCTCAAGTTATCACCCAGGCTCCAACGAGAGCAAAAAGCAATCTTGCTCTAAGGCAAGGCGAGTCTCTGCCAGTATCTGTGAAACCTGTGGACTATTGCTGCAGCTCTGTGCTTTCAGGTCCTGCCTTTGATGTCCTAAAGGAACAACAGGGCAGTGACCTAATTCATCTTATCTCCCAATTAACTGCCCCCAACCCCAATATATACACTTTCAACCTCTTTCATTGCACGTATCAGGACTCTTTCTTCTCACCCCATTCCTCACTTGACCAGATTCCCTCTGCAAGTGTTCTACCAGGGCCACAGCCTCCTCAGTGCTCTGCAGACCGTGTTTCTTTATGTGGATCTGAGTGTCCTTGGGCAGAATGGTCAGGAACTGCTCTAGCACTAGCAGTTCCAAGATCTGCTCTTTTGAGTGGATCTCTGGCCTCAGCCACTGAGAGCATAATTCCTGAAGTCGGCCCACAGCTTCTCGAGGTCCATCAGCTTCGTGATAGCAGAAGCTCCGGAAGTGCTGGCGAGAGCTCTCGAGGCTGAGACTGTCCATCTGTGGCGTATGCTTCTTACTCTGACTGGCACTCTGTGTCACAGGTCCTCTGGTTTCCCACAGAGCCCTGATCTGCGGGTTCAAGTACTCAGCCACCTTCGGATCTACCATCATCATTCCGCAATAGGAATTCTGCTCCTGTGTGGGTCACCCGGCCAGCACCACCTTTGATGACTGAGGCCCAATATTCTTCCTAAGGCACAGAGGGCAGAAAAAAGGTACATGTCAATAAGAGAGTCACATAAACTGTATCACCTACTATCTAGTATGAGACAAAAATTAACAGAAATGGTCTTGCCTTGCCTTCCACTTAAAAACCAAATGCCAGGCCCTTTTTTCTCTCCTGTTCTATAATTCAGCCGAATCTCAGCACAAATCTTTGATGACAAATGCCAACTGACGACTGTCTTAAAAACAATCAGGAATGGCTGGTGGGTGAGAAAACTGACACCCAGTGGTGCACAGAGTTTTGGGTTCATCCAAAGACTTAACTGACGTACTTCCCATTCTGTCCTTCCTCCCCATGTTAAGGAAAAATTAGGAGAACATTCTATCTTAAAATGTAACGTATCACCCCAAACTTCTGTCTTTAGTAAGGGGGACAACTCCTAGGCCCGTCCCTTGCACCGCACCAGTGAAGATGGAAGCCCTCCCGCGGTGGAACATCGGGGAGTCTCCTTTCCACTGAGTGAATCCTGGCAGGAGGGCCGAGACAGCAAAGCCAGCAGAGGAAGTAAGCGGGGGGAAGGCAGCCTTATTCTCAGAAAGCATCCCCCAGCCACGACAATGGGCGCTCAACCTTCTTCCGCCGCAAGACACAGAAAGGCGCTTTGCAAGACACTCGCGCCGCCAGTTTAAATTTTTCCTCACCTAACCCTGAAAACCTACCGCTGCCCTTTGTTTACAAAAGGTTTATCCAAATATCAAGGCTCAACAAAGGCGAGAATGGTACTCGGTGACGACGACCGCGACCCTCCGCTAACTGCCTTTCTTCCAGGGTCACAGATTGTCGCGACCCTGCCGGCCACCTGCAGAACCGGCCCCGCGGGCCCGCGCAGCAGCCCGGGACACTCACAAACGCCGGGCTCCGGAACCAAGGGACACTTCCCACGCTTTGGCGCCGGCAGACGCTGCCCTCCGGGGCCGGACGCCCGGTTCTCCCGCGGTAATGCCAGCTGAGCCAGCAGAGGCGGGAACCTGGACAGCGCCGGCGGCGAGCACCGTGCAGCCTCGGGGCGGGAACCAGCCGCGAGCCGCGGCGCCACATTCGCAGAGCGCCCGACGAGCGGCCTCCCAACCGACACTCCCGCCGCAGGCGCCCGAACATGGCCGCCTCGCCCAGCCGCCGCTGCCGCCGGGAAGGCGCAGCTCCGTTACCTCCTGGAGGCCGCCCCCGGGTCCGCGGCGCCGCTCTGACGAGCACGACTCTCAGACCCGCTCTCGACGCCCGCGGGCCCGGAACCACCAGCGCCCGCCGGAGCCCGCCGCCCACTAGAGGCAGTTAGCGCGCCGCGGTCAGAGACGCGCGCCCCGGCCGGAAGCGGGCGCCATGCGCTTCCGGGGCGGGGCTCCGCCACAGCCCTGCCGGCAGGAGAGCGGTAAGGCCACCGAGTCCCGGGCCCGCCGAGGCCTAGAGGGGCCGGCGCGCGGCTGCCGCCCGCCCGCTGCGCGGCTGGGAGGCGTTGCCCTCCCTCGGCACGGCCGTGCGGGCGCGTCGCAGCCTCCGAGTGACGGGCAGGACCTCAGTGCGAGGCCAGGGGCTGCATCACCTCACGGAGCGCCCCGGGCCCGCGTCCCTCACGGCGGCGGTCTTCTCGTGAGCCAGCTTTTCGCCTGCGGAGTCGGTCCCTCTCACGCGTCTCCCTGACGGAGGAACCGAGAGCTACGAAGTGACCTGCTCGGGGTCACGTCGTTTAGCCGCGGCAGCCGCTCGGCTCCGCTCAGGCCCGTGTCCCGTCGTCTGCTCTGCCACCGCGGCGCATCGCCTGGACGCCGGGCACCTCCTCATCTGGCGTCTCCTGCCCGTCTGGCAGTCGCGCACCGTCCGTACCCACCGACCGCCGTCGGTGAGCATCAGCGCCGCGCGGACGCCCGCCCCTCCCGTGGCGCCCGCCACCAGGCCGGCCTTGTTACCGAGTCCGCTTCGCCGCAGCCAGTGCCACGCAGAGCAGTGGACAGCGCCTGAGTCGAGGAATCTGGCAAAAACCTTTTGTGAACAAAGGGCGATTTCATCACCGTCAGTGACACGGGTCGGAAAAGGTAGACTTATAAAAGGGCCGAGGGGTTGTCCGCGGGGGGAGTGGGGCCCCGCTGCAGGCAGAGGGACCGGGAAGGGCACAGCCTGGGGCGCCGGGAGGGTCGGGGGGGGCAAGCTCCCGGGGACCTGCTGTGAGTCTCGGTGCGAGGCCCGGGACCGCATCCATCCTCGGCTGAATGGTGTGGCACCCTCCGATCTTCTGACCGGAGAAAAGGATTCGACGGGCGATAATAACGAGCACTGCCCAAGTCTCTCGGATGCCTTTCACGGCCGACTCATTTCTTCAGAATGCCGGTCGGTTGGCACCTAGTGTCTTCACAGGGGTTCATTGCTTCCCGTCTCTCAGCAACCGGGGGATAGAAGTGCTCTGGGCACTGAGGTCCTCACTGGGGTCTGACCCGAGGCTGAGCATAGCGCCCCGCAAAGTGAGTGAATGGAGTTCGGCGGCCAGGGCGCTCGGACGTCAGTGGCAGGCCTGACTCCTCACGCGGGGAGGGGGCTGGTCAGGGCCGATGAGCAGAAAGCGGGAGAGACACCCTGTGCTGCGGGAAGAGGAGCCAAGGCACCGGCGGGAATTCTGGTTGGCACTGAGCTTGGTTCCCTGGTCGCTGGGCCCTGCTGTGGGGCCCGCAGAGTCCCCCAGTCTCTCCTCTTGACGACCCTTCCTCTGCCTGGGTACTGCTTGGGGAACGATGCACGTCCAGCTGGAAAGCAATGGGAGCAAACACATGCCACTGATTCTGAGACACGGCGCAAGTGCCGGATGCCCTTGCTGGGCGACTGGCTGGACTCAGCAGTGCTGCTGTTGGCGAACAAACACTCCTCTTACCCTCTTCCCCTTTATCAGTCATCATTTAGTGCCTCAGTTACAGCTGCCTCTTTGAGAAAGTGGCTTGACCTTGTCATTGGCTGCACACCTACTACCTGTCCTATTAGTTCACACTCCTCTCCGTGCTCCATCAGCCAGTTGTCAACAAACGTCAGTGGAAAATAATGGCCTGGATTCTTCTGGTTTTCTATATGAGAAATTTGTGAGAATATTGTGTAGTTGTTGAATGAATTGAATACCAGTCAGGCTCTGCCCTAAAGTAGAGGAAAAATGTCTGAAATTCCAATCATTTTCCTCTTTTCTCTCATACTTTTCTTTCTTCATAGCACCTGGAATGGACAAAAGCAGCAGTTTTTGTTACTTCCCATGAGGTCGTGTATCTGGGATGACAACCTTGAAATTAATCTAAAGTAGACATTTCTACAGACATGAAATGGCTTGGGCAGCACCAGGAGGACTTGAGAGGAATACGTGGAAGTGCACAGCTACAGAAGACTTTGCCAACAGCATTCACGGGAAACAGTCGACCAGAAACACCAGTAGAGAAACTTTAAAAATTTTGTCAAGCAGTGGAAAACTGAGTCTTGTTTGAAAATTAAGCAAAATCTACAGTGAAGAAAAATGAAATATAGCTCAAATATAAGGTTTTATTTAACAGCCTAATGTATAGTTATGAAAACAAATGAAGGAGAAATCTTTTTTTTTTTTAATCTTTCCTATAGTAAAACTGTTGGAAAACTTTTGGAGCTGTCTCTAAAAACTGCCAAGATTCTGAAACTTGGTAATATTCCGAATATGGAACATTTCAGGAAAATAGAGCGCATAAGAATACACCAGATGTTCACAAGGAAGAAGATCTGAGAATTGAAAAGTGCTGCTAACAGATCCATTATTTGCATCCGTACCTTGGTAAACATAAGCCACACCCAAAGCTCAGTCTTGAATGCCGTATTGAACGTAATAAAAGTCAACATCCATTCATATGGATAAAACTAAGTTTCTTCTTCATCTAAAGACATTACGTAAGTGTTCCTGAATTCCAGTTCTCTAGACATACCGGTATCAGAGCGGCTTGACGTCTTTACCCAGGTGGATGGACTGCTGCCCGGCGAAAACTTAAGTACAGAGCAATAGGAGCACCGCTTTGTTTCCTGGCAGTGAGGTAACGTCAGGTCGGTTTGGAAGGGGAGGTGCCGCACTGCCATCTCTGGCACACGAGATTTACTCTGTCCTTGCCTTTGAAGCTTTCAGTCCTCAGACATGACTTTCTCCCGAGACGTTCCTCATCTGGGGCTGTTCTGTGGACACATCTCACCTCCTCTCCTTTCTGTGTCTTTTCCTATATTCAGTTAGACCGTCTGCAGATACTCGTTATTCCGACCGGCACCGATGTGTCTGTGAGGGAGAGGAGGAGCAGCGGACCCTGACGACCGATCACCCCTGTCTCGCAGGAGCAACTGCTCCATAGCACTCCAAGCAGTAGCAGCTTTCTGGGTGCCTAACTTTACCTCTAGATTTAGCACTTCAATCGTGAACACTTATCCCTTTTTAGCCCTTTACCAACTTCAGTACAAATGCCTGTGCCTTCTGGGCTTTGAGCTAGTATTTTGGGGAGTGGAGGGTGGGGGGAGGGTTCATTTTGTTTTTAATTTTTCTTTTCCAACTCAGTAAAACTTTTTCTTTTTTCTCCTGTTGGTTATTGAAACCAAATTCAGTATGAATAAAAGAGGGAAATACACAACACTGAATTTAGAGGAGAAAATGAAGGTTCTAAGTAGGATTGAAGCGGGACGATCTCTTAAAAGTGTAATGGATGAATTTGGAATCAGTAAATCAACATTTTATGACATTAAGAAGAATAAGAAATTGATTTTGGATTTTGTACTGAAGCAGGACATGCCATTAGTAGGGGCTGAGAAGAGAAAGAGGACAACAGGAGCCAAATATGGTGATGTGGACGATGCAGTCTACATGTGGTACCAACAAAAACGCTTAGCTGGTGTCCATGTCAGAGGTGTGGAGCTTCAGGCTACTGCAGAGAGATTTGCACAGTGTTTTGGGCGAACAGACTTCAAAGCTAGCACCGGTTGGCTTTTTAGATTTCGTAACAGGCATGCAATTAGGAACCGAAAAGTATGTGGGGAACAACTCCTAAGTTCAACTTCAGAAAATGTTGAACAATTTAGACAAAAGCTGTCTGTGCTTATCAAAGAGGAAAAACTGTGTATAGCTCAGCTGTACAGTGGGAATGAGACTGACTTCTTTTGGAAATCAATGCCAGAAAACACTCAGGCGAGCAGAAAAGATATCTGCCTGCCAGGGAGGAAAATAAACAAAGAACGGTTGTCTGCTCTTTTATGTGCAAATGCAGATGGAACTCATAAGTTAAAGTCAATCATTATTGGAAAATCAAAGCTACCCAGAAGCATAAAAGAGGACATAAGTACCTTACCTGTGATATACAGACCCAGTAAGGAGGTTTGGTTCACCAGAGAATTGTTTTCAGAATGGTTCTTTCAAAACTTTGTTCCTGAAGTCAGGCGTTTTCAACTTAATGTTTTAAAATTCCAGGAAGAGGACATCAGGGCCTTATTACTTCTGGACAGTTCCCCAGTTCACCCCTCTGCTGAATCACTAACCAGTGACGATGGTCGAATAAAATGCATGTTCTTTCCCCAGAACACTTCAATCTTGATTCAACCAATGAATCAAGGTGTGATCTTGAGCTGCAAACGACTTTATAGGTGGAAGCAACTTGAAGAAAGCCTTGTAATTTTTGAAGAAAGTGATGATGAGCAAGATAAAGGAGAAAAAGGAATTTACAAGATTAAAATTTACAATATAAAAAGTGCAGTTTTTAACTGGGCAAAGAGTTGGGACGAAGTAAAACAAATAACCATAGTAAATGCCTGGGAAAACCTTCTTTACAAAAAGGAACTTGAATATGATCTTCAAGGCTTAGAAGATGGGGACTATAGAGAAATTCTTCAGAAATGTGGGGAGTTGGAAACCAGGCTGGATGATGACAGAATGTGGTTAAATGGGGATGATAAGGAAAAGGGTAGCCTCCCCAAAAGAAAAGGTGGAATTACAAAGGAAGTTCAGAGGGGCGGCTGCTTTGAGGAGCAAACTGCTGAATTTCAGTTATCTGCTGTAAGAGAGAGGTTGGACTACCTTCTTGACTTTGTAGATGCCACACCTGAGTTTCAAAGGTTCCACTTTACACTGAAAGAGATGCAACAAGAAATAGTCAAGAAACAGTTCCAGAGTAGAATCCATTCTAGAATTGGTAGCTTTTTGAAACCTAGGCCTCATAATATCAAGGATTCCTTCAATATGCCTTCAACTTCTGGTTCTAGTAATTAGATTTTGTGTTTAAAGATTTCCAGTTATACGATATGATGTAGACCTGTTGTGAATGGTCTGTATTTTTATCAGCTGACCTCACTTTGCATATCAATGCCCATTTATATATTATTCATAAAATAGACTTGAAATAATAAATTTGTGTTTCTTTAAATGTATATATTTTAACCATATTTTTTTCTATTTTAGATAAGAATCTGGATAATGAGGAATTATTGTCCCAGATTATCTAAAGTGGAAAGGATTAAATTCTATCTGAATGTATTCAGAGCATATAACAAGGAATCTATCTATCTATCTATAGATACATGTATCTATATATATATAATAGTTCTTATTACCTTTAAGGAGAGATTCGTTTTTCAATTCAATAGTATGGCATGTTCTGCTTTCCTAAATCTGTTAATACCTGATTAGTGTTTGTTTTCCTCTTCTGTTGAAGTAATACATGCTTTACAGAAAATATATAAAGATAAAAAGCACCCAATTCTACTGACCAATGAGTTTCTCTTAACATTTTGGTATGTTTCATGTATTTTAAAAGTAGGCAGATTACATTGTAAATACAATTTTCTACTTTATTAACACATTTTAGACTCTGGTATTAACACGTTAACATTTGTTGAGACACCTTTGAAGCCTGGGGTAGAATGGATCGTGGAAGTTGAGGGGCGCGTCAGATGAGTACACTATAGACAGCTCTCTAGTTCCTTTTGAGTCATTGCATCCAACATTTTGTTCCCCTAATGGTAAAAAATTCTCAGAATAAATGACCGGCAGCCACACCCTTTTCAAAAGTATTCACTGATTCTGTAAACTCAACGCTGCTCCACCACGGCTAGACGAGAATATGGTGTTGGGCATTTAGATTTGAATTACAAAGAAAACGAATACCGTTGGGCGTGTAGGCGCCGGGTATGGAGCGGCCTCTGAGCGCTTCGAGAGCAGGGGAGGTTATCCCAGAGGGTCAAGTGTGGCTTTCGAGCTGGGCTTTGAAGTTTCTGGGAGGAGGAAAAAGGCATTTCAGGCAGGGGAGCGTGAGTGCAGGTTCTTCTGCGGGAGTGCGTCTCCCGGGAAGCTACAAGGTCTCTAGTTGGTCGCTAGAGGGGCAGCTGGTGGAGGAGAGGAACAAAGACAGGGCCAGATTTTCGGTGCCCTTTGGGGTCATGCGAACCTCGGTCTGGGCCCATGTAAAATCCTGGCGGATCTACCTCCGGAATGTCTCGTCTCCGCTTCTCCCTCCGCACTGCTCGAGTCCTAGGCCAGGCTGCCGTCACCCCCTCCCTGCCCTCCTTTCTCTACCGTGTAACGAGGGCGAGCAAACAAACAGAAATGCAAGCCCTTGCGGGCTTCCCGCAGCAGCCCTGAGGGCGGCCTGCAGGCTCTGGGTGGGCCGGGCGCCCACACGCCTGGGGGGCAGGGGGGGGCGCGGAGTGCGGCCGGGCAGCACGGTCGCGCGTGGCCGAGGGCAGGCAGCCCTTCCGCGGACTGGCCGGAGCGAGGAGGGGCCGCGGGCGGAGGGCGAGGGGAAGTTTGTCGGGGCGCGGCCGCTGAGCGCCCCGCCAGCCCTCGCTGCTCCCCGGCCCCGCTGGGGGGCCGTCCTCGGTGAGGCCAGGCGAGCGGTTCTGGGGGCGGCGCTCCGTCCTCAGTATGCGGGGGGCTGAAGGTGGAGGGCGCCTCCGACTCATCTGCTTTGCCCCAGCCTGAGGAAGGACCCAAGTTTTGGGTTCCAGAAATCATTCCCGAGGACCAGAGCTCCTCCGGGAAACCCGGCACGTCGCCCGTTCGGGGCCGGGACAGGACTCCTACTCTTGGGTGGGATCCGCCTCCCAGAAGAGCGGAATCCCCCAGGAGCTGCCCCACCTTCGGGGTGGGGGCCCGCGCCCGGGTTCAAGAACGTTTTCCTGCTTTGAGGGAAGGTGAGGATGGAGAGGCAAACACAATTCCTCATTATTGTACAAAAACACCTCAGGATTTCAGGAAGAAATTGGTATTTTGTCTCCCAACACTTCTGCCTGGGGAACTTTAAGTCTCCCGGGAGCAGGTTTGGATACTGGTGCCTGAGCAGTTTGAATTTCTGGCTGAGACTTCCGGGACCTTAAGGGTGTATCAGTGGTGAAATAAGGACATTGACTACATGTGTCCTAATTTGTGTGTGGTCTGAGTCACTTCCAACAACCTTTGTCACTGTTGAATGGTTACCTAGGCCATTTCCTCTGACTTCTAAAGTGAGTACCAGTCAGGCAAGATTTAGCTCCTCTGTAAAAATTATCAGCCTCTCTTTCAATATGGGAAGTCAATTTTAAATTAAAAGTGCTTGCAAGCTAGATTGAAGGATTTTTTCATTTTTCTAATAAATGCACTTTTGTCTAAATTCCTCTTGATATTCTCAAGCTCCTAACACCCAAAGTAGTCTCCTGTGCTGATAGTTGGTTTTTTTTGCTAGTTGGTTTTCTGTAAAGCCCATTAAGACTTTTTTACATGACTTGTTTCAAATGCCTGTGAAACATTTGCAAAAATTACAAGTCTTAAAGGACTGGTGGTGAGTGCATTCCTCCAAATTCTATCAGTTGAGAATTATTCAAATAGTTCTTTCTTGAAAGGGTGCAGAGTCTAAAACCTCAGATTGTACTGAAGCCCATAAATTCTTTCATTGCAGTAAAAATTCTTAAAACATACATCTGATGGGTTTTTCTGGAAAAAAAAAAAGTGTTTCCTTCAACTCTCTTCCAGTCTCTGGTGTTATGGGTCTTTGTCATCACTGGCGTCTGGCCTGCTGCTTTATCTGCCTCTTGCAGGCTTTCTCACGTTGCCTACACGTGGTACTGATTCTCCACCTGCGAGCTTTTGCTGGTCACATGTGCTACCTTTGCTACAAGGACGTGTGGTTATTGTTCAGCGTTAGTCCACATCTCCTAGGTCTCCTTTGTACCCATTTGGAATGTGGGGCAGGGATCTTCATTGCTTCTAGCATCAGTTTCCCGTTGACATAAAAGAAAGTTGGAATCTGCTTTCTTTTTCAAGAGGACTAAAGGGTAAAGGATGAATGTAAGAAGCATACGCTTGGGCATGCCTCGCAGTGACCTTATAGCAGCCTGCGACAAGGGCCTCAGACCTGCTCTTTCAAATATTAACTGCAAGGGACGAAGTCATCAATGCTGCCTGTCAATAGCAGGCTGCTCCTGGAAATTCCTGCCAGTCTTACATTGATCTCAGTGCCAGGTGCTTAGAAGAAAGGCAATTTTGCCAGTATCACCTGCCCACAGATGGCACAAATATATGAGTATTTCCTAGGAGCCAGGCGCAGTGCTAGATGTTTTACATGCACTATTCTGTAACATCTCATTAAAACAAGGCCAAGAACAGCTCTGCACGTGAAGTTTGTTAAAAGGGGAGCCAGACTGAGGATCAGGTAGAGGCTTCTATATTTGAAAGACTTTTTAGTGTTAGTGAAACCATACACCACAGTATTTGGGCTGAAACCCATGACCTTTTAACTGAAAAGCCAGTGCTGCTTTTTCTAAGATAACCTCTCTGACACAGAAGTCACAAGTTTTTTGGCTAAGACATTTTGCAGGACTCTTGGAGCCAGATTCACCCAGAGTAGACCGGCTTGTGCTGGTTAAGCCCACAGACCCCCTCACATCTGAGCCTACACAGAAGGAATCTGCCTGTTGGGCTTTTCCTTGTCCTGGAACAAAAATTTTTAAGGCAATGGAACCAAAAGGCCAGCTCCGGAGTCAGGGTAGGCAATGCCCCTAATTGTTGCAGCCCTGCCCTGAAATGAACTTCTGAACTTCCCAGCCCTCAACCCACTTCACCACACCCAGAACACTCCTATCCTCTGCCCAAATGCTTTAAAAATACCCTTTCTAGGAACCCTCCTACACTGCTGGTGGGAATGTAAATTAGTTCAACCATTGTGGAAAGCAGTATGGAGGTTCCTCAAATTAGACATACCATTTGACCCAGGAATTCCACTTCTAGGAATTTACCCTAAGAATGCAGCAGCCCAGTTTGAAAAAGACAGATGCACCCCTATGTTTATCGCAGCACTATTTACAATAGCCAAGAAATGGAAGCAACCTAAGTGTCCATCAGTGGATGAATGGATAAAGAGGTGGTACATATACACAATGGAATATTCCACCATAAAAAGAAAATGAATCCTGTCATTTGCAACAACATGGATGGAGCTAGAGGGTATTATGCTCAGTGAAATAAGCCAGGCGGAGAAAGACAAGTACCAAATGATTTCACTCATATGTGGAGTATAAGAACAAAGAAAAACTGAAGGAGCAAAACAGCAGCAGAACCACAGAACCCAAGAATGGACTAACGGTTACCAAAGGGAAAGGGACTGGGGAGGATGGGAGGGATAAGGGTGGGGGAGAAGAAAGGGGGTATAACGATTAGCATCTTTAGTGTGGAGGGGGGAATGGGGAGGGCTGTGCAACCCAGAGAACATAAGTAGTGATTCTACAACATCTTACTACGCTGATGGACAGTGACTGTAATGGGGTTTGTGGGGGGGACTTGGTGAAGGGGGGAGTCTAGTAAACATAATGTTCCTCATGTAACTGTAGATTAATGATAATAACAACAACAACAACAAAAATACCCTTTCTCCCCACCACCAGAGAGCCCTGCCTGTCTCACGCTCAGCAGCTGACTGGTGCTCAGTGGTTGGTTTTTCAATGTGCATCATGGGCAGATGAGCTCAACTGCGCTCAATGGCACCAGGCGTGAGCAGCTGGGGTCCCCACTGCTCTACCTCAAGCTACAACGCTTAAGGAGGAGCAAGGCAGGCTGGCACCCTAAAGCTTGCACAGGTGACACTGGGGGTGTGTATGTGTGCTTTCCCACTAGTGAAACTTAAAATCCACACAAGTCGCCATCTTACCCAGAGTGCTTAAAAGCATCACTATGACACCATCCACCACTGCACAGAATCAGGAACCACATCAGCCCTGACCTGTGCCGACCACTGTTGATTGATCCTATATTAAATGTCTCAAATCCTCACCTCTCCCCTGCCACTCAGCCCCTGTGCTATCACTGCCCTCTCGTGGATATGAGAAAGGGAGAGAAATGAGAAACAGTTATGATTTTTAAAAATTGGCTTAGAAAAGCAAGGAAAAACATACTAACCTGAGGGCAGGCTGGCCCGGCTGGTAAGGACGGGGTGAGGCGCGCAGCATGGTTTCTCTCAACGTCGCTGTTTGACGTCTGGTTGCCAAGGGAGTATTTCATCTTTCTCTCCCAGAGAACAGCCCGCTATCTCCCTCCAGGGCCAAATCCTGAGATATTTCCCTGGCATCGGACTTCCCTGCTCCTAGAGTACTTCCTGGTATTCTCTTTCTGAGGGAGACGCATTCCTGGAATTCCTACCCCTGATGGCACATTCTAAAATACAATGTTTTCCCCAATAATTTTGCCCTCCCCTGTATGTTTCCTCCACTAACCAGCAATAACTCAGTTATATCAGGACCATCTTTTCCTGGAAGCCATTTGCACGACGAAAACATCTGTCTTTAAATAGCCAGATGTTCCTTCAGCTACTTCACAAGAAAGTAAACTTTTTGAAGAGTCAAAAGACATTCTTAGTGCTATACACCAAAGAAGGAAAAAACAAGGTGGCCCTTATGACATGGGCCCAGGCGGCCATGGGGCTTTGGCCCTCTTGCCACGTGGCAGCTGGGGCGCGCCTACCTCGGCCTGTCTGCTGCCACCTTTCCTGGAACTTTACCTACCCACCGGTAAGGACACGGAGGGATAGCAGGCATCTAACCAAAGCAGACAGGAGACACAGCAACACTGGAGGCCAAACAAAGGCCCTCAGTGAAGAGTCACACACCCTCATGCTTCCTGAAGATATTTATTACCATCCAAACGTACTTTCAACAGGAAAGGGCATGACCCCTACTTTCTCCCAGGGAACCATCTTTCCTGAAACCCTCTGATCGCTCTGAAGCTCTGACGGGGTGGGGAAGTCTCGACCTCTGCAAAGGTAAAGTAATTCAGACTCCAGTTTCCCTTGCCAATTCCTGGGCTGACCTGAAAATTCCACCCTAGTGCTTCCCTTAGGTCTCTGGTTCCTTTCTGTCTGAGGTGACATTTACATGCATGGCCTGCCAATGGGCCCCATCAGGCCACCCAGAGGTGCTGCGGTGGCTGCCCTGGACTGCCCGTGGGTGTCCCAGCAGGGCCTTCAGGAGAGCCGCAGCGTAGCACCAGTCTTGGGTTGCCTCCAGCTGGTTTCTCTGGAGACCCAGCCCCTCTTCTCTGGCCTCAAGGGCCTCAGGAGCCCCAGTGCTCCTGCTGAACGTGCCAAGTGAGGAAGCAGCAATGGAAGGTCACATGGATTCCCACAGTTGTTGGGACAGATTCTGGACCCAGTAAGGCACCCAAATCACAACCTGGCTAAACACCCAGAGGGGGCAGGTGTGCCCAGGGACAGGACGGACGTCACAGAGCACTCCGTGCTGAGCAAGTCACCTCAAGGACTGGCCGTCCTCTGGGGCTGAGGCAGAAGTCCTTTTCAGTCCTGTGCTAATTCTCTGCTGCGTCTGTACCTCCCTCACAGACTCTCCCCGGTTCCTCTTCAAGTGATTACCTTAAAAACCCAAACACTCAGTCAACCAGACGGAATACCAGCTCTTAACAGAAACCTCTGAATATGCCATTTTATCTGGGCAAAAAACAAAACCAAGGAAAAAACCCACACCCACAGTTTCTAGCCGGTGTGAGTTCTCTGATGACTCGTAAGGCGTGAACTTCGGGAAAAGCTTTCTCCGCATTCAGAGCACTTATAAGGTCTCTCTCCCGTGTGGGTTCTCAGATGACGGATCCGATTGGAGCTGTGAGAGAAACTGTCCCCACACTCATGACAGGTATAGGGTTTCTCTCCCGTGTGAATTCTCTGGTGCCTGATTAAGTTGGATCTATGAGAGAAGTTCTCCCCGCAAAGGGTGCACTTGTACGGCTTCTCTCCCGTGTGCGTTCTCTGATGTCTGGTGAGGTGCATGCCCTGCCGGAAGCTTTTCCCACAAGTCAAACATTCAAAGAGCTTCTTCTCTGCCTTGTGGGTTCCATGGTTTGTAAGAAAGAGGGTGCTATCGCTCCCTGTTTCCCCACACTGAGAGAAGGGGTAAAGCCTCTCTTTCTCGTGAGTTCTTTTGTGTATGACAAGGTGTGAACTGCGAGAGAAACTCTTCCCACATTCGGCACACTTGTAAGGCCTCTCGCCCGTGTGAATTCTCTGGTGCCGGAGGAGATTGGAGCTGTGGGCGAAGATTTCCCCACACTCCGGGCACTTGTAGGGCTTCTCACCTGTGTGTGTTCTCTGGTGCCTGTGGAGGTTGGAGTTGCAGGAGAAGCTTTTTCCACATACGCTGCACTGATAGGGCTTCTCGCCCGTGTGGGTGCGCTGATGGCGAGTCAGGTGGGTGTTCTGACTGAAGCTTTTTCCACATTCGAGGCACTTGTGGGCCTCCTCTCCCAAGTGTGCTCTGTGTAGTGATAAAAAGTGCGGGTTCCCACCAAAGAGTTCACTGCACTTCACACCCACACACAGTCTTTCTGCTGCATGTATTCTCTGGTGCCTAATTAGGTTTGAGTTGTTAGAGAAATTTTTGCCACACAAAGGACACAAGTGGAGCTTCTTCATCTGCAGTTCCTTTGGTTGTGCGAGTTCTCTGCAACTTGTGGCCCCCACTAAGGACTGCTCCATCCCTTCCTCTGGGGGAGGCTCCCACCGCCCTTCTGCCCTGTCCCGAGGCCTTCCCTGCTCAGGACTCCAGGGCACCTCCCCTCTGGCTTGGCCAGGCAGCAGCACCTGAGGGTGGACACTCTCGGGGGAAAGGGACTGAGCACTGTTTTCTCGGCTCTCAAATTTCTCTTCCCCTGGTAGAGTGAGAGAAAGCAAATCCCTACATTATTTCTACACCAGAGAAAAGGAACTCACACAGGTCTGCTACTGCCTTTAGGCCGGAAGTCCAGAAGGATAGGTTTTACCCCGGTTTCCCATCTTCCTCATACAGGTAAAGCACTTCAGAGGCGCTAAGGGGCAGGTTCATCACTCAGGAATCAGAGCTCTGATCGGTCTTGAATTCCCATGTAGGCGCCACCACCTCCCTCTCCAGCCAAGCCTCTGGCTCCTGCCCTTTGGAAACGGGGGGGCTGGAGCAGGCCAGGGTGAACAAGTGAGCCCGGGGGTGAATGCCTTCTTACACTGCGCAGCCTGGCTGCCTTGCCTGCCTCACTGGGACAGGGACAGAGTGGGTAGTGGGGACACAGGGAGCAGTGGGCCTCCCTGGCGGCGGGGATGGGCCAGCCCTATACCCTCGCTCTCAAATGCCTCCCTCCGACAGTGGGAAGCCAGCTGGACTGGCTACGCATCTTCTTTCCTTACCTAGCGCTGGGTTTCTGGAACTCAGGCGCTCCCTGCGGGTCTGCAGGCTGGGATCCCATGGCTGTCTTCCTTGCTCCGCCTGGGTGCTCAGGGCCTCCTGACCGGGAGCCTGAGATGCTGCACACAGTGAAGGAAAGGTGAACACGTTACCACTTTCCTCCACCAGGCAGGCAGGCAGTCTTGTTCCCTGCCATCGGTGAACACACCCACAGACGGCAGACTAAGTCTGACAGCAAGTACTTGAAATATACACGAAACTGTCCGCAGTGGTTACCTCTAAAGAAGAAATAGGGGCAAGAGACTAAGGATTTGTTCTTACACTTCTGTAGTGCTTGGGATTTTCTGCAAGGAGAATATACTTCTGTAATTACCCAACAAAGGAATATGGTCCAGGTGGTCAGTTCCTCAAGGAATCACTTTAATACTGTAAGAGAACCTTGACTCTCACAGATAAGTTTAAAATAGAATGAAGTTTGACTGGACAACTCCAGAAGGAGAAAATATAATACAACAGACAATTAGAAAAGGGCCTGGGGATCTGAGGGAACCCTGAGGTTGGAACCCCTAAGTGCCATTCCCACGCTATGCTAAAAACAAAAACAAAGACCTCACTCCAGCTCTAGCAAACACGGACTTTAAACCGTTTAGTTCCAAACACCTGTGATCTGAACTTCTCTGCGTATTTCACACTCACTGGAAGTGCTGTACTCAACTTAGGGCACCATGCCACAGCCCAGCAATGGGGAACCTGGAGAAGACTCAATGAAGGGAACAAACCTCTTTGCAGAATTAATACAAGTGAACTGACAGCCGTGCTCCTCTTATGAAAACAAGTGCAGTGTGACTCTTGTCCACCATGTGTCAACATAGCTACCATCATCACGCACACAGCCCTGTTTTGTTTAAGGCTTCCTCCAACTTTTGAGAATTTTCATAAATAGAGAAGATGAAGGAACCATGTAACACCTATACATTCTCCACCTAAATCCAATCATCAAGTTTTTTGTCCTATTTCATAGGCCTTATTTTTAATCTCTGCAAGATAGTTCAACACATACATGCATCTTAACTTACACCTATTTTATTTAGCTCCTGTTTTGGGTATATATATCATTTCCAAATTTCTACAAGGCCTTTTACCCCCATTCCTGAATTTTTAAGGGCTGTGATAGCTGCTAAGCTAAAACATTGATATTAGTGCCCCTGGGTCTAGAAACCCTAATGGAGCAGAGAAAACATAAGTGAGGTCAGAAGAAGAGGCATCTCAAAACTGCAAGACATCAAGAACTAAGAGCCCCACAGCATCCTGGGATACGTGTATGCGATGTGGGGTAGGAGTTGCCAGGTTTGATTTGTTCTGCCCTGGGCACTAAGGTCTTTTGGCAAAACTCCAGGCTTATAGCCAGGAGGTAAGTGGTTAAGGACAGGACCCTGGTTAGAAATGGCTCAGTCTTCATCTCTGGAAAAGAAGTCCTTACCCAGTGAGTCCACATTCTCATAACTCTCCTGCACCGTGTCCCTGGAGAGGGCCCTCCTACTAGCATCCTGATGTCCCCACGCTTCCTGGGAGATGTACACAGCCACGTCCTCTAAGCTCTCAGGCAACTGAAACAGCACAAGATCTCCTTTAGCCCTGAGGCACCAAGAACAATTCAACCAGAGTCATGGATTAAATGGACTAAACCAGGGGCTGCCAAGGATACATTTCATGGGGAGGAAGGGTGCTAGGCCTACAAGTGAGGGGTAGAGAAGACAAATAAAGAAGGCGGAGAAAGAGAACCAATCCTGTCCAAGCAGCAGAAGGCCCCCACCCCCACAAGAGCAACTGGGGGAGGGGGTGGGGAGGGAAAGACAATGGGAACGTCCACATCACCTGGGGCCCAGTCATTTCTTTGTCTTCCGTGTTCCCTTCCGCAGCAAAGAGAGAAAGCCAGGGAGCAGATACTGCTGAAGGTGACAGAAATCATGATGAGAATGACACTCCTAATTCCTGGCAAAAGGATTGTAACAACCCAGTATCCATTCCCCAGCACCCAGCCTCTGCTCTGAGGACTGAACACTGAACAGAGAGGGCAACAGAGGCATACTAAAGTGAGAGCCAAAATGACAGGGGTGCAGGTAAACGCCAGCAGTCCGCCCTGCTGGCCTGCAGCGCCCAGCCCTCACAGCTAGCTCTAACCGTCTCTGTTCTCCATAGAAAAGGGCTACACGAGGGTTCCCCCTCCCTCCTCCCACTCTCTGAAGCACCCAAATCACTTCTAGGTCTGTCACTCCACATCTGGGAACCCAGAGGTCAGACATTCCCTCACCTTGGCAACAGAGCTCCACCGTGCTAACGGCAGGGTACCCGCAGCCCCTCTCCCCTCCCACCTGCCCAGATAACTGTTCCTCACCCCTCTCCTTTACAGCCTGGGGATCCCTTTTGGGGCTGGGGCCTAGCAGCTCCTGCAGCCTGGGGCCAGGGCTTCGCTCAGTCTCCATAGGCTCCAGCTTGAAGCTCGGTGACTCTCGTGTTGTTTCCAGAGGCAAAGGCTCCAAAAGCACTTCTGTTCCCCGCCCATGGTTTGTGACCTGGGAACCAACTCACATCACTCATCATCACAACAGGGCCCAACAGGACAGGAAATGAGTACAGAATTCTGAGGGCATGCCTTCAACAGAACCTCGGCGATCCCTTTGGACCCAGCAAGAGAGAAGAACGGTGTACACTCTAGGCTTTTCCCACCTACAGAGGAGAAAACCGGTACTGGGTGTGTTAGTGGGGGGTGGGATTAGTCTGCTCCCAGTGCACACCTTCCCCACAATTCTTCTGACACACCTCACTCCCTCTTATTTCCCCCCCCTTTTCTAGATGCTTCTATTCCTCACCACTGGACAAGTTAAACTTGGGTGGCCTTGGGGGCAAGGTGTCTTCAGAGCCTCAGTGACAAACTGTTTTCCTGTTTAGTATAAACAGGGACCCACCTGTGCAGAGGTGACCAGTCTGCTGACCCTAAGGTAACAACAGCTAACAGCTATTAAGCACTAACTATAAGCCAGTAGTGTGATCAAAACTACATGCTGCTCTTCCTGTAGCCCTCAAAGCAACCCTAGAAAGGCATTTTGTCACTCTCATATTACCAGTGACAAATCTGACGCCAAAGAGGTTAACTAACATACCTCAAATAAAAAAGTTAGTAGAGACCGAATACTCATGCAGACACACTGCCTCCAAGTGAAAACGGCACGCTTCACTGCTCCTCCGTCCATTTGAATGATCCTGACTAAACCATAAAACGTTCTCCTGCCCAGATCAGGTCTACTCAGGGCAACCAAAGTAAGTTCGTACAGGGAAGAGGGCCGGCGCAATGTGCCAGTTCTCGGGGCCGAACAAACCGCAGATGAAACAGCTCTTAATCTCACCTGTTGCCTCAGTCTTCCAAGCTCTCTCTGCATATCCTCCACAAGGGTCACCGCTTCCTCGCCACTCTCTGGATGCAGCTCCTGCACTCTGCTCTGGATTTCCTGCGGCAGGATGGTCAGGAACTGCTCCAACACTAGCAGCTCCAGAATCTGCTCCTTGGTGCGCATCTCAGGCCGCAGCCACCCGTGGCAAAGCTCCTGGAGCCGGCTGAGGGCTTCCCGGGGCCCAGCGGCCTCTTGGAAGCGGAACCGTCTGAAGCGCAAGTGGGAGACCTCCGGACTGGGCCCTGGGTCTGGCGGGGGCAGCTCCTGGCTCCAGGCACAGTCCTCTTCCAGCTTCACTATCAGGAGCCCTTCCCTGTCTTGGGAGCCCAGGCCCGACGCCATCGTCAGGCGCCCGGAGCGCCTTGGCCAGGAAACTAGCTGTCTCCGCCTAATAAGACGCCCCGGGCACCGCGCAAGGACTCCCGACGTCTGCAGGTGCAGAAGTCCCGAGGCTCCAAGTCTCGGCTGAAGAACCCAGCTCCTGCCTGTGCGAAGCAGGCTCCGGCACCTTGACCTCAGTCGCGGTCGGGCGCCGCAGGGTGGGCCGCGTGGCCCTCCGCCACCAGGACCTCCCCGCGGGCAGCACCTGAGAGCCGAACCTTCCTCGGCTCCCGGACCCACGCAGGACTCACAGCTCCACCCCGACGCCGGAATTCACAGCACGCGTTAGGCGTCCACAGCCAACCGCGCCTGCTCGAAACGAACTTCCGGGTCTCGTTCCGCGAACTTTAACTCCCATTGGGTCAGGTCTCACCACATGCACACCGCCGACCAACCAGAAGGGAAGATTTGCCTGAAGGGGTGGGACGAGCGGGGGGCCAATTGAAGACGAGAGGCGGGGTTATCGGGCGAGCCCTCTAACGTCAGAGGTCGGTGGGGTGGTTGAGAGCTTTGACGGAGTCACGGGATTGGTTAGTGGGAAATAAACTCAAGGCGGATGTAACCGACGGGCTACCGGGTCAGAATACCTCGAAAAGCTTACTTGAGTATAAACCACCACGGCACGCTAGATGCAGTTGGTCAAAGTGTCGGTGTGCGGCATGAAAACCCGAGTTGTTAACAAGCTCCCCCGAGAAATTCTTTCCCCACAAAGTTTGAGAATCATTGTCCTGGTCATGACGGATTTAAAGGCTGTCCCCATCCCCCTTCAGTTACTCGGGGCTGCAGAGGATAGCCCAGTCCACCCGGGCGGCCTTGGAGGCACGTGAGCAGGGGGTTCACTCAGCCGCCGCTCCGCGCCTCGCCGAAGCCGGCAAGCGCGCGGCCAGACCGGCCGTTGTCGCGAAGCCTCCTGGGAGATGTAGTCCGTGCCCCTACCCCCAGCTCCAGGCCTGCGCCTGCGCCTGCACTTGCCGGCGGCTGCCCCTCTTCGGGCCAAGGTTCGGCTTGGGGAGGCTGAGCGTCCCTGAGAGCCGCTGAGAACTCTGCCTGTGCCACCGGTTCTGATTTTAAACCGATTTTAAACGTGTTCGGGACGAGCCGTTTATTGCCCAGTGCTGCGAGGGCAGGATCGTTATTCAACTCCCTCCGAGGTCTTAGGACGAGGGAAGAAAGCGGTGAACTTCCGTCGTAGGAGCGAGTGGAAGGAAACCCGGAGAAGTACCCTAGCCTGCAGTCGAGGGCTTTGTGCAGGAGAAGGGAGGGCTGCCCAGCTTGGCGGCGGGTGCCCACGGCCCTCTTCCTTCCCTTCAGCCACGTCAGGCCTCGGGCCCAGAGATGGAAGTATCGTGGAAGTGAATCTTTACAACTAGTAACCGTTTTTTGAGCCTGCTTACCTGCCACTGGAACTTCACGACACACAACATTGCAGGAAGGAGACGCTGCCCGCCCTTTTGGCAGCACCTAGTGTCTGAAGTGGCTTGCCCAAGGTCACACAGCTATTCTGTCATTAACTTCAGGCTGCTCTGATGTAAAGGGTGATGTGGGGACTAAGAGAGTCGATTTTGGATAACTGGTTGTTAGGAGTCCTGAGCTTTTTTTTTTCTTGTTAACACTCCAGGGAAAGGTGCCCAAGTGGTTGTAGCAAATGCAGACCCAGAGGCCTCCTAGCACACAGACAAGTATAGGTCCTTTTCTGAAAGCCTTGTTTAGACATGTAACTTAGCTCAGAGTCCTTCAAGACCGTTTTCTTGTTTTGATATTCATGTTTCAGGAGACTATAGATTCTAACCTAATAACCACATCTCTGGCATTTACTGTGTCATCTCAGTCAAGTTATTCATTCTCACTAAGCCCCAAACTTCAGTTCTTATCTATTTTGAAGGGATAAAACTATACCCACCTTAACATTAGGTAAGGATTAAAATGAGCTAACATGTAGGATGCTTACCTGGCATTTAGTACAGACTCAATAAATACTAGCTGTTACTAATGCACAGCAAATTCCTACAGGCTTACCCTACCTCGTAGAAAAGCCACATGGATTATTATTGCAGGATGTGGGGCATGGGAATGTTTGCAAAACTTCACAAATCTTGAGATGGTACGAATAAAGGATGAATCATCTGCTATCTAAGATCCCTTTGATTTTAGATTATTAATGGGTACTTAGCGTTAGATGGACTTGCAGAGTTACTCAAAATTATTGTCGATATTTTTCCATCTTTGAGGCCTATGTATATTCAGATGAGAAAACAGCTGGTATTTGACTAGAATGGAGTTACAGGCCAGCAGATCTGTAGGGGTTCATTTGAAGCAGGACTTCCTAACCTAAGGTCCATTGAATTCTAGATTAGCACTGCACAACAGATTACTGCAGTGGTGGTTACTGAGTACTTAAAATGGAGCTAGTGTTGCTAAGTGCTATCTAGTGGCTACTATATTGATCAGCACGGTTCCAGATGGTTGCATGGATGGGTTTGGAAATTCTGTAAACCTTTTGATATCGTATGCAAAATTGCATGTGTAATGTACTTTCTAGGAAGTGCATCCATAACTTTCATCAAGTTCTCAAAACCACCAAAATGATTAAGAACCACTACTTTAGGTCTTTAGTGAAAAGTAAGTTAAGGGAAGTAAGTGCACTCTCTTGTAACCATTGCTGATTCTACTCTCTTACATTTTCTTGTCCCCAGCTGTAAGAAGCTCCCTGATATTACAGAGAACAACCCATTTGAAACTCAGATAAAGAAACTCCTTACTCCTGGTCTTGGTTCTCAATGGGTACTAGATTATTTGTCTAGAGCTGCTTTCATCCTAACCTAGGTCTTACGGATTCGCTGGCACTCAAGGTGGGGGAAGGTGTCTGCCTGGTTTTCACACTCTTTGCTACTCTCCCCAGCTTTGGTTTCTACCACGTTACTTGACTACCGCTTTCATGGAACCCATGGCCTTGGGTTTGCTGTTACCTGTCCCATGTTACCCTTTGATCCTACTCTTAGCTTTCAAAGCCAATTAGAAACAAAATAGTGACTTTAAATGGCATTTCATTTGAAATGATTTTATTTTTACTGATCTGAAATACATTGCCTTTTCTCCATGAAAATATAAAATAAGGCATTTTGCTTCACTTCCTATATCTTGGTAAACTGTTCTAGAATTTACATTTTCCTTTGGGTTAACATTAACCAAAATAACTTACTAATATTGTCTGGTAATGTTAATTTTTCAACATTTTACTCTGTTTGGATCTTAAATCACTACTTACCACCCCATGTTTAATTGTGGACTAGTAAACTTTGTCAGAGGTGAGGAAGGAGAAGAAGGGACACAGAAAGAGGGCCCAAACCATAAGTTCTACCAGTGAGGGAAAGAATGAGAGGACAGGGTGGGAAACTGAGCTGGGAAATTTTGACTCGCCTGTCTTTAGACAGCAACAGACACTGTCAGATAGTTGTTTTGGTTAATTTCAAGATGATCCCCTTCTACACTGCAGCTAAAAGAAACACATGAAGATGGTTTTAGCTCAGTTCAGATACCAATTTTTATTTGAAATCTCTATTTAACTGAAATTCATCCAGAACTAGTTAGGAAATCCCCACTTTTACCTCTCTGTCTTCTCTTGGGACTCAATAAAAGAATGTTTCTCGGCTTTCATACTGTCAGAATTTTAGGAAGATTCACGACACATTTTAGTCCTAACTTAAATAATTCTATTATCAAAATACTCAAAATAATGTAAAACTGATTAGGTGCGTTGACTTTAACACAGAATTAATTCACTCCTCTCTTATAGTCTAGAGGACAGTAGTATTGAATCGGGCACACAAGGACCTTTTCCCTCATTTTTCCCTAATATTGGAAAACTGCCTGACAGAGGCTCCAGGTAAAATCATCCTGAGAAGGAAATAGACAGAGAGGCTGTCTGTCCCAGAAATCAGCCTGAATTCAGGAAAAACTGGTGGTGACCCAAGCTGTCACGCTTCCTATCTTTCCAGCGGCCAGGATGTCCAGTCCCAAGCCTGGCCTAAGCTTCCCAGGGGCACACAGACAAGAGCAATGGGTGAAGGGATTTCAGGATCCCACAGAAATGAAACAATGATTTAACTTTGAGATAGGTGAGTGTTCACTGGATTCCAGGGAAGAAAGAGTAGAAAAATTCAAATAAAGCCTTAACTGGAGTAAAAAGCTTTGGGACTTTATTTAGGAGTTTCTATCATCCTATTACTGGTTTAATACAACTCTTTTTTCCTCCTCAGGAGGAAGTGACATATACAATTTCCATTTCTTCTCGCAAATGTTGAGATCAGGGGAGAAAATGAAGAAACCTCTTCAAAGCAGAAAAACTGGGATGTCTGCATCCATTTTTGTTACTTTAGAGGGGAATATTCCCTGTGACTCTATTGTATAAGACTAAAAAACTCTTAGAGAATCAATGTGGAAATCCCAAGATTCAGCAAAGCTTGTAAAGATTATCATCACCCCTCTATAGAGAGAACCCAGAGAACTCCAACCTGGAAGGACCCCCCAACATTACTTACTGAGCACCAGAGGATTCCTTCAAGACAGGAATTTCACATGCGTCCCTGGCTAAGGGAAAAGCTTCCTTCGTTCAGACCTTTATTGACACCTATGTCCTCACACGGGAGAAACCCTATGAATGTGCTACCTTGTATGGAAAGCAATTTGACAATGTATTTTAAGAATCTTAAAACGTTTCTACTTTTTGATTAAGCAGCTCCACATCTGAAAAACTGTTCTGAGGGGGGGAAACAAAATAGCAACAACAAAAATAAAAGCGTTTATACACACACAGAACCCCGAGGGATCCCCACTGCCCTGATACAAAGGACAGACTCTGCAAAGGCTATGAAGATCTTCACGGTGCAGACCCTAAACTGTGGCGACAGGCACTGCAGTGGATGCCTACCCTCCCTCAGTCAGGATCGCTTTCTTCTGGGCTCCCATGGTGCTTTGTGTAGACCTCATTTTTAGCCCTTAACACAGTTCACCTAGCGGGGAGGGTTAGTTGCAGTCATACTATGTCCTGAGCCTGCCCCTGCCCTTCCAATATACTTACACAGATATCACACATGATTGGAGTTGTACAGGAGAACATCTGTTATTCATCTCTTCACCCCTTAAAGTGCCATTACATACTAAACATGAATGATTGTAGCACTGAATCAAGAGATGTGAAATAGTCCTTGGAAAGCTAAGAATGTAGAACATTCCATGGATATGCCTAGTTATACTTCTGACCATTACGGAAAGCG